GCCCAAAAATGTTTGTCATGCTTTATCTGATGAGAATTGGGTTAATGCCATGCATGAAGAGTTAGAAAATTTTGAAAGAAACAAAGTTTGGTCTTTGGTAGAACCTCCCTTGGGTTTTAATGTGATTGGAACAAAATGGGTTTTCAAAAACAAACTAGGTGAAGATGGTTCAATTGTTCGAAACAAAGCCAGACTGGTTGCACAGGGTTTCACCCAAGTTGAGGGCTTGGACTTTGAAGAAACTTTTGCACCAGTTGCTAGATTAGAAGCTATTCGAATTCTTTTGGCTTTTGCTGCTTCAAAAGGTTTCAAGCTTTTTCAAATGGATGTGAAAAGTGCTTTTCTGAATGGAGTTATTGAGGAAGAGGTCTATGTCAAACAACCTCCTGGTTTTGAAAATCCAAAATTTCCAAATCATGTGTTCAAACTTGAAAAAGCTCTTTATGGTTTAAAACAAGCTCCCAGAGCCTGGTATGAAAGATTGAAAACCTTTTTGCTTCAAAATGGTTTTGAAATGGGGGCTGTTGATAAAACTCTTTTTACTCTTCATAGTGGTATTGATTTTCTTCTTGTCCAGATATATGTTGATGACATCATATTTGGTGGCTCCTCTCATGCACTTGTTGCCCAGTTTTCTGATGTGATGAGCAGGGAATTTGAAATGAGCATGATGGGAGAGCTGACTTTCTTCCTTGGACTTCAAATCAAGCAAACCAAGGAAGGAATCTTTGTACATCAGACCAAGTACTCCAAAGAGCTCCTGAAGAAGTTCGACATGGCCGACTGCAAGCCAATCGCCACTCCCATGGCAACTACTTCATCGCTTGGTCCTGATGAGGACGGTGAAGAAGTTGACCAGCGCGAGTACAGAAGCATGATCGGCTCCCTCCTCTACCTGACTGCGTCAAGGCCGGACATCCACTTCTCCGTGTGCCTGTGCGCGAGGTTTCAGGCTTCTCCAAGAACATCACATCGCCAAGCAGTCAAGCGCATCTTCCGCTACATCAAGTCTACACTTGAGTACGGTATTTGGTACTCCTGCTCTTCTGCCCTTTCAGTTCGAGCTTTTTCAGATGCTGATTTTGCTGGGTGTAAGATTGATCGCAAAAGTACTTCTGGCACTTGTCATTTTCTTGGCACTTCTTTGGTCTCTTGGTCCTCTCGTAAGCAGTCTTCTGTTGCTCAATCAACAGCTGAGGCTGAGTACGTAGCTGCTGCTAGTGCATGTAGTCAAGTTCTTTGGATGATTTCAACTCTGAAAGATTATGGTCTGTCTTTCTCTGGTGTTCCTCTGCTTTGTGATAATACAAGTGCAATCAATATTGCAAAAAATCCAGTTCAACACTCCAGGACCAAGCACATTGAGATACGGTACCACTTTCTCCGAGACAATGTTGAGAAAGGTACCATTGTGCTAGAATTTGTTGAATCTGAAAAACAATTGGCAGACATTTTTACAAAACCACTTGATCGCTCTCGTTTTGAGTTCTTGCGGAGTGAGTTAGGGGTGATCCACCCCTATGGCTTGATTTGAGGGGGAGTTGTTTTTCTTTTGCATGCATTTGTAACATATTGCATCATGTTTACTTTATGCATTGTATTATACACTCTTCAATTGAGCTTTGCTTGTTATCTCTTGGTCATCACTATGCTATGGATGTATCACTCTTATGCTAGTTTGATCTCTTGTCTAGCTTTCATTTGCTTAAGTAGCTTGTGTGATCATGTTATGCTGTTCAAGCGTGTTGAAACCTGCTTAAATTAACTATTCATTTGAACTCAATCAATGTGCAATGCTTGCTCTAGAAGTTTGTTTAAATTGAAGTATCCATCTCATACTCATGCCATGTTTACATTCTTTTCGCAATAACTGTCAGTACATGCTTATGAATGCTCATGCTTATGCGTCTATACTTTGTATCAATCATGCTTTACAAGTTTTATCTCTGTTTTTGTCCGGGCTACTGAGTGCGTTTACGCATGAGTAGTGCCGAAGATAGCACTGAGACAGCCTGTAATGGGAACTCTAGCTGGAAAACTTGATTGAGGTCAGACGGCAGTGTTTGGCACAACCATCACTTGCTGACTGATAAGATCAGGTGGACCGTCGTGATTGTGCTATTGTCTTTAAAGAAATTAAAAAAAAATCATAAAAATAAAAGTCATGAGAAAAGATTAAAAGCTCATGTTCTATGCTTTGTTATCATGTTGATACTCTTTATGAACTGGGCATTAGCACATTAGCATGGGTTCATTGCTTTGATTATGTAAATCTTGCATGATTATGAGCTGGTTTGCTTTCTTTTAAGCTTCTTCTAGAAATAGCTTTGCACACTAAATCACTAATTCACTTGAAAGCTTTTTGCTTGCTGGCGATACTAACTTGATATTCATGACTTGTTTCATACTTCTTATGCACATGCTTAGCTAGGCTTGAGCACATGCTTGTATCTGTGTGATCCATGTCTACCTTTTGATGCCTTTAGATAACTCTCAAAGCTCTCAAAACCTAAAATTTGCAAGTTTCATCTCATTTTTATCTTGCATTTTTGTCTCTTTTGATCTTGATGGCATCATTGACAAAGGGGGAGAGAAATTTGCACTTATTGAAAATTAAAACTTGCTTTAAATCTTGGTGAAAGGGGGAGTTTGGCACATAGGGGGAGCATTCTTGCATTTGCATTTGCATCCCTTTTTCTTCTTGTCACTTGGTCTTGATTTTTCGCGATTTCAAAATGACCAAAGTTCGCTTTTGCAAAATGGTTTGCTTTGTGAATCAAAAATCAAATTTTCAAAATTTTGCTTGAGATTGTCAATGTTCCCATCAAGGGGGAGATTGTGAAACCATGTGTGGTTATAGTTCTTTTGTGATGGGAAATTGACAAGTACCGGATGTGCAAGAAGTGTGTGTGTGGACTAACGTTGGTCAGGTTGCGACATCTGTGCCAAGACAACGGTTGTTTGGTTCATGTGTGTGCAGGTGATCGGGGTCGATCTTGGTCAACGGCGGATCGGGACTAGACTCAAGGAGGAGTTGAGGTCCAAAGCGATCAAGGATGCCGGGTGACAAGATTGGACACAAGGTTGCACACGGTGGACGAACACCGTGTGAGGAGGTCTTTGCAACAGGCTTCACAAGGTCAAGTGTGCAAGCATCGGATTCGCGAAGAAATCAGAAGGGACTGTGCAAGTGCATTGCTGCTACAGTACTTGCTGTAGGTAGCATACATGCATGTACACGTACTGTACTTGTGCAAGGAGGAGCTTGCACTGTACTGGTTGCTACTAGCATGGCTCGGTGGAAAAGTCAAGCTAGCTAGCTGTGCATGTGCGCTGTGATTGGTTGGCAGGGAGGCCAAGCCAATCCAGCCGTTCCACGTGGCCCAAGATGGTGAATGGCTCGGCTCGGCAGGCCTGCATCGTCCAAGCAGCGACGGCCCAAGACGGCGGCCCATGGCGCATGGGCTCAGGAGGTGCAGGCAGCTTGCATGCGCAAGGACGCGCGCGGGAAAACCGTACGCGGCAACCTCCGTTTCGCGTGACTCGATCGGAGGCGGGTGCAGGAGCGCGGGACCCACACGCGATTTTGCAAGCGCGCGCGGGAGCGGCTCAGCGGGACGCGTGGCGGCTTCGGGCTGGTTGGGCGCTGGCGAGCGCGCGCTGAGGAAAAGGAGACGGAACGCGCACGACGCGGCTGGGCAACGTGGCAAGTTTGGATTCGTCAAGACGGAGAGCACGCGGATTCATCAGCAAGAAGACCATGTGAGGGTTCGGGTCGATGAGGTGGCAATCATCTGGAGCTTTTCCTTTGAGTAGAAGGAACAATGGATGGACCAGATCTGTTCTAAGTTAGGGTTTCGCCCTAGGGGTATTTGAGACAATGTCTTAGGGGTCTTAGGCTATAAATAGAGAGATGGATGCAAGGGTGGAGGTTGCTCCTTTTGGTAATCATTTTGAGATGCTCGGTGAGAGAGTTTCCGTGTGAGTTTGGAGTGTGTTTGCCCGAGAGGCTTTTGTATTAGGATTAGTTTGGAGTGTGTTTGTCCGAGAGATTTTAAGTTTGTGTTAATGTTCCTCTGAAGGTGTATGTTTGCTCCTAGTTGAGCGGTTATTTTGCATCACCTATAAATGAAATGATTTGAAGGATTTCATTTTTGCCTTGTCCATTTAAATTCCGCAATTTAAATTCCGCTTGCAATTTGAACTTTGCGATGATGAGTTTTGCTCTCTCTTTCTCACCTCTCTTCTAGTTTCGGGAATTCCTTTTCTCTTCCTCCTCTAGTTTCGGGAATTCCTTCTCTCTTCTTTTTCTCTCTTCTTTTCTAGATCCGGCTTCTAATAGCCGCGATTCTAGTAAGGATTTTGAGAAATCCGGCTTGATGAGTATTTTCGGGGGCAAGATTTGAATTGCTATATTCACCCCCCCTCTATAGCTGTTCTTGGTCTTTCACAAATGACGACGATGAGATAAGCCGTCGTTTTACAGAGAGGAGAGAAATGCAGGGTGTAAACCAGAAATCTGCCGACAATGCAGGAATCACACTTGGTCAAATTGGCAGAGCACGGTGCAAGTCCCCGTACTGGCACGTTACAGAATCGTCCAAAAATACAGCAGATGAAAGAATAAAAAAGAATAGCCAGGGCAGTACTTGTACAGTTCTACTTCTACTAGTGCAGAAAGACTTGCACGAATTTCTTTGTATACACAAATTTCTTTCGATTTTCGAAGTGTTTTTATGGGTTCATAGTTTCGTATCCCACCGCCGTTTTGCCAGAGGAACCTAGCATGAAATTTACATTCTACAAAGGTGTGAGCTGTTGTTAAAAAACCACCTACTTTAACACAAACACATATACTTATCTAAATGGAAGAAAGAAAGGTTGTTTTCAGTAAAGTTTGCTAATGCATTGCTCGTAGCAGCTTTTTAAAATCTCTTGAAAGTTAAGCATGTCCCTGCAACTTTAGGATTAGCAGCGTTAAGCGCCATTATCAATCACAAAAAGAGCACGGAGCAGGCAGCAGGGGCCATGAACTTTCACACTCCTCTCTCTCTCTCTCTCTCTCTCTCTCTCTTCCAGCTGAGTGAGCTGCTTGCACGCCGCCTTCCTGCTCGTCGCCTTTCGCCGCCGCCATCTCTCTCTACTCTACTCTAATGCCTCGGCGCCTTTACTAGTTAATTAGTTCTTCTTTAGCATCGTACCATAATCTGCCCACACGGCTACAGACTCTTGATTGGTTTGAGATTGAGCTATTGGGTTGGTTCTTGGCAAGAGAAGGCAAGGTGGGTTTCTTTCTTCGTTTCTTCACTCCTCTCGAAATTTTCCATTTGCTTCCCCCTTTTGGGTTTGGTCTCTTGATTGCTGATGAGCTACCCTTTTGCAGGCCAAGAAAGGTGGCAGGTTCTTGTCAATCTCCAAATTTTCCCATTAAATTTGCGATTTCTTCCCCACTCCTCCCCGTCAGAACCGAGGTTTTACCAGGAGTGCTTCAGCATTTGGGGTGTGGAGTTATTGCAAAGCAACCTCGATTCCTGCACCGGTTCCTCGATTTGATGCTGAAGAAATTGAGCAAAGCTGGTCTTCGTTTTGGTAAAACCCCCAGCTTTCTCAGGGCGGAACAGTAGAAGAAAAAGATTGGAGGAGAGGAGAGGAGAGGAAGGGTTGGTTTTGGGAGGATGATTCAGCTGCTGTTCTTGGTGGTGTTGGCGGAGGCGGCGGTGGCGCTGCTGCTGATGGTGAAGGTGGGGCCGCTGCGGGAGGTGGCGATGCGCGGCGTGGAGCAGGCGAAGACGGGGAAGGGCCCGGCGACGGTGAAGACGCTGGCCTGCACGCTCTCGGTGATCCTCATGTCCAGCGTCGCCAGCATCCTCAAGATCCAGAACAGGGGCCTCAAGCTCGGCACCGTCAGCCCCATGGACCAGGTGCTATGGCGGACTCACCTCCTCGAGGCCTCCCTCATCGGTGAGCTCGCCATTTCATCATTCTTGATTCTTTACTACTCAACTTACTAGTTACTACTACTTGGATGAAGTGTAGCAAGTGCTCTTAATGATGGAGGAGGTCGATAATTGTGCAAACCAAATATTGTTTTAACTTCTAAGGTTTACAGAAGCTAGAGAGTTTACATTATACATTTTAAACTAGAAGCAGGAAGTTATGATCCTATCATTGAAGAATGTTGTGTATGTTCAATTCTTAATGAGCAAATTGCACTTTGCATTTATGCCAGGTCCCTTGTGTGGTCAACTGGTAAAGAAACAGTAGTACCATGTTACTGTAGTGGACTGGGTTGGATACAATAAGGACTCCTATTGCTTTAGGCTTGCATCAGGTTTTTGCTGCTTTCATGCTCCATCTAGGTGATAAAAAAATTATGGTAGCATGGAGTGAGAAATCATTTGTTCTTTAACTATAGTCTACTGTTTGGTGGCCATTTAGAATATCAGTCTCATCACTTCTGTTTCCATGCTTTTTTGCTCTATTAATCTGATAAACCACATTGTGGCAAACGCGAAGGAAGTATTCAAGAACTAGAATGGCAAGTGTCACTATGTCAGTATGTGATCACATTGTACGAACTAGTAAGTTGAGTGAGTATTGTACTGCAAGCATATTTCAGAAGTCACATGGAGGTTATATCAAGCAACAGCTTAAGAAAGAAAATCACATTTTCAGTAACTGTAGTACCTTTTGCTTTTATTTGGTCATTTTGGTACATAGTATCATTCTTAGGTTAGTAATTTTATTTACTAGTACAAGTTAGGAATCATGATACTAATATGCAAACTGTCAATGTAGAATAATAAGAGATGACAAACCTATTACACGTTTCATGTTTATGCCTTAGGGTCAGTATGATGTACCCATTTGGAATTGATATGGATTTATGCATTGGAGGATTTGTTGGATCTACAGAGTACTATACCCAGGCAACTAATAAAGGTGGACTGTCACTTTGTCAGCCTGTTCATACAAGGACTCATGTACACACACTGTACTCACAACTAGAGTTCCTACCCTAAGTGCTATTAACCAATAAATCATCTAGTCACAAATAAAGTAATTAAGGCAGTTTGGCTGAAATAAAATACATAGCATGTTGTCTGACCTTTGAAGCTGTCTGTCCAATCTGGTCTCTTTCCTTGTAGAAGGTTAGGAGTTTCAGACCTGAACTGATAAAAGTTGGCCTCCATGCATTATGTTATGCCAGGTTGTTTTTCTGAACAATTTAATCAGTACATTTGCAACTGATGGGATACTCTTACAGAAAGCTTTATGCAAGTTTAGTATTATTATCTTCAACCAAAAGTATAGCACTTATCTCTAGGTGTAATCAGGAATTCAGGATATGTGTTCATTGTTAAATATGGCAGGCATGATAGATTCTAACAGCTGGTCTCTCACTGCAGGATTTACTCTATTCCTTGCATTTGTCATTGACCGGTTGCACCACTACCTCCGAAAACTGATTACACTGAGGAAAGCAGCCAACACATCAAGAGAGGAGGTCGAGAAACTTCAAATGGAGAACCGGTTATTCCGTGAAAAGGAGGAGAAATCTTCCAGTGAAATCAAGAAGCTCCACCAGGAGATTGCTAAGCTAAACGAGAGTATGAAGAAGCTGAAATCGGAGTCTGAAGATCACGAGAGGAAGGTGTTGGAAGCGGAGGCCCATGTGAACGCCCTACAGAAGCAGTCGGAGGAGCTTCTCCTGGAGTACGACAGGTTGCTGGAAGACAACCAGATTCTACAATCTCAGCTTCACTACAAAGGCTGAAACAGTTAACCTGGGGCATGCAACTCAAAGTGCTCGTTACCAAGACTCGTAGACTTACCAAATGTCAGTGCAGAGCGAAGGTATTGGTGAATGTGATGCTTGGAATCCTTGCTCTAACTTGTGGTGTTGGGTTGATGTACTAGTGTGTGCATTTGTAGTTTTGAGGAGTATAAAAGCCAGGGATGATATATGGTGAAATGGTTATGAATCTGGTATCAGTTCATGTCGCCATGCAGGGTTGTTGATCTGAAAACTGAATTGAACTTGTGGGCTGCGGCCATGCCTCTATTCAGGCCTTGATCTGAAAATCTGAAAAGGAGGAAAGTTTCCTACTGAAATGAATGCTCTGTTAGCTTTGCTAAAACCGGGCTAGGATGGATCGTTTTATTTGTGTGAATAACTTAGAATATATTCTGGTTTACTGTGCAAAAGCTTTCTTTTCAGATGTTGCTATTCAGTGGTTTACTATGCAAAAGCTTTCTTTTCAGATGCTGCATACCACCATGCAGAGCTGTTGATCTGAAACGGAAGATAAGTTTTCCTACTGAAATGAATTAATGCTCTGCTAGCTTGCTGAAATCGGGATTCGATGGATTGTTTAATTTGTCTGAATAAACTCAGTATGTATTCTGGTTTATTGTGCAAGCCTTCTTTTCAGATGTTGCAAGCCTGAATTGCCGCCATTGTTAGCTCGCACTCTTGACGAACCGCAGCGGCGACAGCGAGCTTGAAGGAGTAACGCCATTTTCAAAAGGTGCAAAAGGGGTCGGAGAACAAAACTCCGACCCCCATTTAACCTCAATTTTTCCACCCACATGAATGCATGCGTATCTCCTTCTCAGTCAACAACAATGGCTCTCTTCTCCTTATCATGCGTGTATGTATGCACAGTGAAGCTAATGTGGCCATATGGTGAAGAAATCAATTCATCAGCAGCTAAACAAATCTTCGTATAGGGAAAACCTTAGCCCTTTCTTCCCCTGGTTCCTTCACTGAAAATTTCAGATTTTCTGCTAATGAATCACACATAAAAGTTAAGCACATTCGATCCGTTGCGTGTGAAGCGGACACCTTTTTTTGAAGCCGGAGCTGGAGATAAGCTGGCCAAGGGGTGGTTTGACCTTTTTTTCCTCTGTCTCTGCATGGACATCTTGTTCTCCAGGTTAACGACGTTCGTGGACATCGACACATCGTCGAGATGTTCATTCATGCATAGATGTTGACAGTTAGCTTGGTCAAATTCATGTATGTATGCACAAATAGATTGCTTCACCAGGAATTCACGGCAACTGTTGAGGCTAATAGATTGAACAGTGAAATATATTTACGCAGCTAAGGCAGCCTGCCATGGAACTGAAATCAGAATCAGAGACAACAAGCGTCTCTGATTTTCACATTCCAATTTTGACATATCAGAATCAGAATCAGCCCCAATTTTGACATTCCACATTCCAATAAAACTTGGCCGGCACAGTACAGGATTCTTGAACCAAAAGGCCAAAAAATCTATCTCAACCTACTGACCATGACTTTGTTTCCCCTCATCTCTCTTGCCTGGGCAGATTTTAGCTGCCAATGAGGTCTAGTTGGATCAAGAATTCACATATCCTTGTCAACGCATTTACAAAAGGAAAACAAAGTGGTGGAAAGATCCTTCCAGATTTGCTCGCCAAAGGCCAAGACAGCATAGCTAACAATGCTAGGGTTTTATGTTTTCCAAAGATCGCCAAGAATGTGTCATATGAACTGCTTCAGGAATTCAGTTGCCACTAACCGACCACGTGTATTTACCGAAAGCTTTAGCTCACTGATCTCCTTGTCGATGTCCTACAGCACAAATCAGAATATGTGATATGAGTATAAAGTCACAAACTGTAGCAAATGGGAAAGCCAAGGAAAACATTTTTCCTTACCTCCATAAACTGAACAATGAAATCTATGAGCTTATGCTTGTGCATGTCCTCACAGTGGTAGTTTGTTATCAGGAAACTGATATCATAACCCTGAAAATGAACAAAACCAAGTTAGACCAGTGATGTCATGCAATGCTCTGACTTGACAAAATGCAGTCTACTCCTAATACTTTCAGCAGATAACAGAAAACGTATAAAATTGGCTAAAGAGCATTGAAACAGATCATCAAGAAGGAAAACCACCTGAACTGGTTTTCTCCTCAGCACTTGGAATGCTTCTGCTCTCATTGATAAAAACCTAAGAAACTTCTTTGCAAGAATATTTTCTAGCTCATCTGCCTGTTTGACCTGTCAAACAATAAAGAGAAAAACATATGATGGTATACCAGATGACAAATGATTGACTGATATTATCCCAATAAGCATAGTAATATCCAATCATAATTTCATGATTACCTTCATGCTAATACGAATAGAGTTGATTGAAGTCTCTATCAAACACTTTTCTGCTTCATTACGGCAAATGAGCACCTGTTTTGAAGGAAAATATTATAGTTCTATGAGTCATAATTCTTAAGAGACTAGAGGCATCTAGAGAAAATTTCTCTCCAAACAAGCAGAATTTGGAGAATGGCGTAGGCTATATCTGCCAGTAAACAGCCAAACGGCAGCAGATCATTCTAAATCAGTCACCTTCAACAAAAAATTTAGTAGAGTTCATAAGGGTCACATAATATGAGGGATATCAGACATGTCACCAGAAACTGCTCCTGCCTTATGCCATGTACTCTATGTCAAAGTGCACTGTTCACCTTCGATCCTAAATTCCTTATACGCATGTATTTAAATCATAAAGTATCATAGTCATAAGCGTGGCGCAAACATTGACAACAATTTTTGAAACAAATGTCAAAATACATTAGTTCCATCATGGTACAATGGCATGTGTTGTTAGAAAGATAAAATCAGAACTCCGTCATCATGTGTTGTCAGTTTTTCACTTAATTAATGGAGTAGCATTTGCTTCTAGCATATGTGATTTCTGGCGTACCCTAGATAATCCAGTAGAGAAAATATTTTAACTTAGAAGTGAATTGAGTGTAATTAATGAGTCATTAAATCAAAATTCTACACTAGTGTGTTAAATAATCAGGTGAATCATAGACTGAATTGGAGATGATGCTGAGAGATTCCTTACTGGGTTCAGCAGAAGTTCAGGGCTAGTCCTGCAAAACGAAGTAAAAAGCAATAAGAATAAATTGTGAGGGAAGAATAGAGGTATACGAACTTCAAGGAAGGGTATAAAAACAAAAGGAAATCATGAAACCCTACAGGAAAAAAATATTTGTATAGCAAGATATGTTTTAGACCAAATATATTAGTCAGCATTGGCGTGTATAATTACAAGTTCAGTGTCTATTCTCACTAAGTGTGGTAACATAGAAATACAGGGTTCCCACAAATATATAAAGGATAAAAGGAGCCAATGATAGAATTGGTGGTCTTTTGTATACATCTTATGAAATTAACTTGGAAAAATTTATGACTGTTTAGAGAATGGGTTCATGAGGAAACACCTTGGAAAACAGAACCCAACAAATGCACAGGAAAAAAAAAGGAGAAGAAGATCGTTCTCTTTACAATACATTATATTGCATTACAATAGTGAATTATATGTTGATTTTCGACTACATGCTGAAAGTCCAGTTTCTCAAACTAAAACATCAGTGCAACATTTTCTCTTGGTCATGGTCATAACTAAAGCATTGAATAAACAAAATTCAGTTTGAAGCACGACTTACTTTAGCTCCACCTCCGGTTTGTTGTGCCTCTCGACCTCTTGGCAAGGGAAATTCTGGAGGTAAAGCAAACACACACGCAAATTAAATTACACTCATGGAGGACAGAAGACAGAAAATGATCTATGAAGGCAAATTTCAGCATGGAGAACATGGTGATCAGAATGCAAAGGAATGGTGATCCTTGACCTGCAGGCACATGGCAGCCTCCAGAGTGTTCCTTATGCAAGTGAGATACAATCGCAGCGTATTAGCCTACAATAGCACAAACACATGAGCACTCACCCATACTTCCAAAGCAAACGCCACAAATAATCTGATTTTAAAAAAAAAATGCAATCTCGAACCAAAGCGACAAACAATCTCATCCCATCCTTCTAGAATCCGTGATCGGTTATCGGAAGGGCTCCGTCGATCCATCAATATACCGTGGAGTAGACCAGAGGAAGGGTTCAGGTTTCGAGGCGAGATCTGGCGGGTCCAGGAGGCCTCGTCGCGGTGGGCGGAAAGGGGAAATGCGGCGCCGGCCCAGAGGCCAGATCCGGAGAGAGGCGTAAGTAGAGAAAGGGAACGGGATAAGGTGGGGGCAGGAGGTTACCATGGTAGGCGCGGCGGCGGCGGCGGCGCCCGCCGGGGGTCGGAGAGGTAGACGGAACGGCGGCGGGTGGAGGCGATCGAGCGGCGGAGTTGAGGCGGGATGGAGATGATGCGCTGCTCGGCTCGACAAGGAAGGAGGACGATGCGGATCCACGGAAGTATTACCAGTGCAGAGTGGTGCGTTAGGCCTAATCTGGGCCCTTCATCTAAAACACAAGGGCTCAGATAACCGGGGAAATATCAGTGCAAACCACTCTCAAAACAGTGATATACTCCCTCCGTTTCGAAATGTTTGACACCATTGACTTTTTAGTACGTGTTTGATCATTTATCTTATTTAAAAAAATTAAATAATTATTTATTCTTTTTATATCATTTGATTCATTGTTAAATATACTTTCATGTACACATATATTTTTACATATTTCATAATTTTTTTAATAAGACGAACAGTCAAACATATACTAAAAAGTCAACGGCGTCAAACATTTTGAAACGGAGGGAGTAGTATCTTTTTTTGCGGTTGAGGAATATGACTCGTATTCGAGCTACTACCTTTGTATTTTAATATACGATGATATCGTTAATTTTTTTACTTGTTCATTCGTTTTATTGAAAAAAATTGTGTAATTATAATTTATTTTGTCGTGAGTTATTTCATCATTTAAAATACTTTAAACATGATTCATGTATCATATATTTTTTGCATAAAATTTTTAAATAAGACAAATGAGTAAACATGCAGGGGCGGATCCAACGTGGATGCAGGGAGAATTGAGTTATCCCTACACTCACAAGACGCATGGATACCCTTAGAATACCTCCTTCGATTTTTTTATCATGAATGATAGACTAAAAGTTCCTAAATGGCTGGAGGTTGAAGAAACTACGTAATTGAGCCCTCCCTAATTTTCTTTTTGTTCCTGATCCACCCCTTAAACATGCGTTGAAAAGTTAACGGTGTCAATATATTAACAAAATGGAGCAAGTATATATAAGAAAGCTAAATTGGCCTTTTTCTTTTCTAGGGACTGAACAATTTTTTCCCGCAACTGCCGTCAACATTGTCAGAGAGAAGCAGAAGCAGAGAGCAGAGAACAATGGCGGCGGAGGAAGAGGAATGCCGTCAACATTGTCTAGTGGCGGTCGGGTCACTCTTAGCAGCGTCTAGTCTGATGGTAGTATTCTTCTGTGTTTGTATTTTAGAGCTGTCGGTATGTGTGTGGTGGTATAATTTTTTTTCTTGTTACGACCACGAGATCCAAAAATTTTTCAGAGTCGTTAAAAAAAATTGCCCGCAACTTGGTGCTTTTCTTGGTAGATAAAAATACGGCCCGGCCCAACGTGGCTTGTGATCCAGCCCATGGGTCTCGTGGATCGGCCGACGGGAGCAATTTTGGACGGAATTTTATGAAATTTTCAGATAAGTTTTCAAATCTGCCCATTCTAGCTGCAAATTTCTCAGTCTCCCTAGTCAAGAAGTAAAGGAGAGCAACGTGATGAAACAATCAACGTGGCGCTGCGCCTCCATTGCTGAATTTTTTAGCCATGCAAACGCAAACGCAAGCAGAAAAAGAAGCAGAGAGAGAGATCACGACTGCATATCCTTGTTGAAATTCTTCAACCGTCTAGAGCATCCCGGTAGGCGGCGGCAGCGACACATGCATATGCATACGCATGCCCAGCGAAGTAAGAAAAGCTTTCCCATGGGTCGGCATGACGAGATTCCCGAAACGGCCCAAGCACTTGGACCGGCCGACCGGCCAATCGCGCCGCCGTCGCCGCGCGGCTCAGGCATCTACTCTGCTGACGACGGAATATTCCTCGCAACCATCCAAAAGCGCAAGTCCGGCGACGTGCGCTCACAACTTCCGTAACGGCACCGGCGACATTATCCATTTCAGATATGAAAGAAATTGCAACTGTCTTCTACTCCCTCCGTCCCCGTCAAAAAAAAAAAAGGCAAACTGTGGCTTCCCGTGTCAACGTTTGACTGTCCGTCTTATATGAAATTTTTTTATAATTAGTATTTTCATTATTGTTAGATGATAAAACATGATTAATATTTTATGCGTGACTTATCATTTAAATTTTTTTTAAATAAGACGGACGGTCAAACGTTGGACACGGAAATCAGGGTTTGTCGGAGGGAGTACACCGTATGTGATCTCTGCTGAATCCATTCTTTTATTTCTGAAAACAGGAGGATATTTAGTGAATTTCGCATAAATCGAGATGAATTCATCCACCTGGGAAAAGAATTCAAAAAATGATATAGATTCATTCCTCGATGGGATATCCTCCCATTATTTGTATATCATCTAAATAGTTATCAAAATTTTATTTTAAAAAACAACAATATAAATTAATATGAAATATATCATCCATAATAAACATGTAATATCAAATTCGACTTCTATAAATTGTAACAAAAAGAACAAATTAAATTGAAAATAGTTATCGTACGTTCACATCTATATTTGTTATTTTTGTTATAATTTATAGAAGTTAAATTTTAATTTGTATGTGTGTGAAGTGATATATATTTTATATTAATTTAACTTGTCAAATTTTTTAAAATTTTTTATGACTATTTAGATGCAGGTACGATTGTACGAAGTTAGAGGATAATCACTTTCCCTTTACATATCTGCATCAACTTTCTCGTTCCAAACAGGCGATGGTGAGCAGAGCGGACACGCCGGCCGCCGCCCATCTTGTCCCAATTCGGCTCCTATAAATTTCCCTCCAAATTCGCACTGATTCCTCACGCTACCCGCCCATCGATCTCGCGCCATCTCACAATGCGGATGAGGGTCTCACTGCTGCTGCTCGCCGCCGCGGCGGTGGCGGCCGCGGCGGAGGCTGCGCCGTCGTCGACGTTGGCCGGGCCGACGCGGCCGGTGACGGTGCCGCCGCGGGACAGGGGCCACGCGGTGGACCTGCCGGACACGGACCCGCGGGTGCAGCGGCGGGTCAAGGGGTGGGCGCCGGAGCAGATCGCCGTCGCGCTCTCCGCCGCGCCCTCCTCCGCCTGGGTCTCCTGGGTCACGGGGGACTTCCAGATGGGCGCCGCCGTCGAGCCGCTCGACCCCACGGCGGTCGCCAGCGTCGTCCGCTACGGCCTCGCCGCCGACTCGCTCGTCCGCCGCGCCACCGGCGACGCCCTCGTGTACAGCCAGCTCTACCCCTTCGACGGCCTCCTCAACTACACCTCCGCCATCATCCACCATGTCCGCCTCCAAGGTAAGATCCACTTCACTTCAGCTTTCGTTGCAGCTTTGGATTTCTTTGCTCAAACAAGTGTGCGATCTGCAGGGCTTGAGCCAGGGACAGAGTACTTCTACCAGTGCGGCGACCCGGCGATCCCGGCGGCGATGAGCGACATCCACGCGTTCCGCACGATGCCGGCCGTCGGGCCGAGGAGCTACCCGGGGAAGATCGCCATCGTCGGGGACCTTGGACTGACGTACAACACCACCTCCACCGTCGAGCACATGGTGAGCAACCAGCCCGACCTGGTCCTCCTCCTCGGCGACGTCAGCTACGCCAACCTGTACCTCACCAATGGCACCGGCACAGACTGCTACTCCTGCTCCTTCGCCAACTCCACGCCCATCCATGAGACGTATCAGCCGCGCTGGGATTACTGGGGAAGGTAGTGATCAGTCACTAACCCAAAAACTGAATCTTTTTTTTTTTACATTTAGCATTGAATCTTTTTCCTAAAACTCTGAACACTTACCACTGAATCTTTTTCTGAAACTCTGCACATTTTGCACTGAATCTTTTTTTTCTGAAACTCTGCACATTTAGCACTGAATCTTTTTTTTTCCTGAAACTCTGAACATTTAGCACTGGATCTTTGTTCTGAAACTCTTAACATTTAGCACTGAACCTTTTTTTTCTGAAACTCTTAACATTTAGCGATTGTTCATAAATTGATTTGTGATGTCTAACTGAAGGTACATGGAGCCAGTGACGTCGAGGATTCCGATGATGGTGGTGGAAGGGAACCATGAGATTGAGGAGCAGATCGATAACAAGACGTTCGCTTCTTACAGCTCCAGATTCTCGTTCCCATCGACGGAGAGTGGATCATTCTCTCCATTCTACTACTCTTTCGATGCTGGAGGCATCCATTTCATCATGCTCGCGGCTTATGCTGATTACAGTAAATCAGGTATACATTCAATTCAGCATCTGAACATCCCACCATGTTGCAGTAACAAAGAGATATCACCTCATGCAATGAAAACATCTTTTTGAAGATTGAATTGCACAATAGTGATTTTATATGCTTCAGTGACATGATTCAGTTGAATTCAGTTAGGACATCAGAGTAAACATTCAGGAAAGAAACACACACCTACTGAGTATAAACATTCAGTAAAGAAACATAATAATGTCAGAAAATGAAGCTGAATCTTGAATGGATTTAAAACCTTCACCTGCATAACGAATTCAGGGAAGCAGTACAAATGGCTGGAGAAAGACTTGGCAAAGGTGGACAGGTCGGTGACCCCCTGGGTGATAGCCGGCTGGCATGCGCCATGGTACAGCACCTTCAAAGCTCACTACAGGGAAGCAGAGTGCATGCGAGTGGCCATGGAGGAGCTCCTCTACTCCTACGCCGTCGACGTCGTCTTCACCGGCCATGTAAGCGACTCATCCGAACATATTCTGAACATTTTGCTTCTTCTCTGAATTCTCTGATGAACTGTGGGTGTCACTCAGGTGCATGCTTACGAGCGTTCGAACCGGGTGTTCAACTACACGCTGGACCCGTGCGGCCCCGTGCACATCTCCGTCGGCGACGGCGGCAACCGCGAGAAGATGGCCACCAGCTACGCCGACGAGCCGGGGCGCTGCCCTGACCCGCTGTCCACGCCGGACCCCTTCATGGGCGGCGGCTTCTGCGGCTTCAACTTCACCTCCGGCCCCGCCGCCGGCAGCTTCTGCTGGGACCGGCAGCCCGACTACAGCGCCTACCGGGAGAGCAGCTTCGGCCATGGCATTCTTGAGGTAAAAAAAAAAAACTCTTCAGATGCTTCATGAAGTAGAAATGTCACCATTGATGAGATGAGATGAAAAATCTTTGGATTTTGCAGGTGAAGAACGAGACGCATGCGTTGTGGAGATGGCACAGGAACCAGGATCTGTACGGTAGTGTCGGGGATGAGATTTACATTGTTCGGGAGCCTGACAAGTGCCTGATCAAATCCAGTAGAAATAGAATAGCTTACTATTGATTAATTTCTATCAGAAGAAGAGCCAAATTACGCGGGCACATTTTATAGTGCTTTGCTAGCTAGTTGTACTCAGATTTGTCAGGTAAATTCCATGCAGCGACCGGCATCTCTGCTGTTGTATACGTGTTCTTGTAAGACATCTGAAGAATGAATGAAGCTTAAATTGTACTTTGTAATTTAGTTGTAGAAATTTTGGAATTATTACAAGATGGAAGAAAGCCTTGCAAAATAGGACTGTGCTTGTTCTTCATTCTCAGATTTATAGCAGAATCTGAAGTTTACTGTCTGGTGGTGTCTCAAATTGGATGCAGGTTTTACTGCAAAATCTGTGTGTGGAAATAGATTAAGCCTGAACAAGATGTACCTGAATTTCGCTGAACCTGGACATGCAAAATCCGCAAAGAAGAAAACACGTTATTTCTGAATAAAATGTATACCTGACAAACACAGGTTTGGCATGTAAAATAGTTGCAGAAGGACCATTAGTCGGGCCAGCTTGTTGGGCTGGGCTTCATTAGCTATTGAGGCCCAAACATAATTGCCGATTAGTCGCCTCCCATCTAATCTCCTTGTCATCTTCTTATCTCCCGCGTCTCCTCCTCTGCAGCCTGCAGCCCGTTCAGCTCGGCGGCGGCGGCGGCGGTCGCCGGAGAGGAGGAGGTGGTGCCGGGATGGTGAGCTTGGCCGCCTACTCCCCTTGCTCCACCGTGGCTGGCGTGCCCAAGAACAAGGGCAACGGCGCCGCCTCCAGCACACACAAGGTCAGCTCAATCCTCTTACTCCTCCCTGCAATCGAATCCAAACCCACGCACGGGAGAGGGAGCGCCGCCTGCTATTGTTCCCATCCCGACGCAGTTCGAGCATCCTACCCACCGTCGCATCCCTCCCCGAGGCGCAGGGCCTCCGCTAGCCGCCGGCGGCGCCACCATCGCCAACCAAGGGTCGCAGCGTCGCTGCCGCTGAGCATAGGGACTCCGCCAGTCGCCGGTTGTTTCATCTCCTCCACCGGGCGCAACGTCTTCAGGAATCACCGGCCGCGAGGCCCAACGCCATTAGTACGCCATATCTGGTTCTTCCCCATTTAAGTCTTGATTGATTTTCTTGTGGGTTTTCCCTTCTCATCTTAGTACAAGTGTTATCTCTTCTCCTAGATCCGATGGGCGATGAGTTAGTTCTGAAATTGAATGCTTAAGTGGCAGTGCATCTCTAGCACATACATACTACTGGATACTGCTTGCGGCTATGTGGCTGCAGTCTGTAGATTCACTAGTGACCAGGCATGGGAGCACAATATCCATAGGAGCTTCATGGTTAGCCTCATCTCCTGAGATAGCAGACAGATTATAGGCTGATCTGAGATAGTACTAAAAGATTTTGGTGTATTGATCATTTTTTGACTACTGGTGTATTGATCAATTGATATCATGCCATATGACTATCTATCTCTATTCACAGTCTTGTAGTTATTAAGTACATAATTAATAATTAAAATTCATGTATTCGCTCTATATCTTTTTATTATTTTAAATATAAATAGACGTATCCCCATATCGGTGTTTTTAAGAACGTGTTGTATCCTCATATCGTGTATCCGTATTCGTATCCCCGTATTTGGGTAACGTAGTGGAGTGGAGTGCTCACAAGCTGTTTGTAGAATTGCTCATGAGCTCGGAGCTCTAATAACGATGAACCCATAGATCTATTATTATTTATTTCGTTATTGCTAGAATGGCTATTTATGAATTAGAAAGGATCCAGTCGGCAGTAACCTGTGCTTTATAAAATGGCCCCAAGCATTCCAATAAAATCAGGTTCTCTGCTGAAGCTATGAGTCTATTACCACTCCCTTCCAAGCACACTTAATGTATATATGCTCATGTGCATTACTTAGCTGTGCAACATGTGAAGATTTTGTTGTCTTCCTTCCATGAATTTCTCACACAATGCAGCCAAGCTCCTTTGTACCATACACATTGTTTTATATAAGCTTTAACTTGTCTGAAGGCTGCTGCCTTTGTTTTTTTTTCGTCTGCTTTACCAACACAGGCCATGGTTAGTAAGTTAAACTATCTACTTTGCAGCTTTTGATCACTGATTAATGAAGTGCATGGCATTCTTGGTCCTTCTATTATATGCAATGACGCGCATCTGTTATCCCGTAGGAATCAATCATGCGGCATGTTGTAGTACAATGTGCCACTTCATGGGACACTCCAAGAACGTCTACTACTAATGGTTCACATGCTGAACCTTCAGCAGTTGTCAAAGCTGGTACTGCCCCTCTGATTCAGGCACTGAAATCAACTGCAAATCAAGATGTTTCTTGCTTTCACTTTCCTGGACATAATAGAGGGAAAGCTTCTCCTCCTTCATTGTCAGAACTTATTGGCTCAAGGACATTTTTGCATGACTTACCTGAGCTACCTGAGCTTGATGATCTCTTCTCCCCTAAAGGTGTGATTTTAGATGCTCAGAAGCGAGCAGCTGAACTATTTGGATCATTTAAAACATGGTTCCTGGTCAATGGAAGTACATGTGGAATCCAGGCCTCAGTGATGGCTACCTGTTCCCCTGGTGACTACCTCATCATACCTCGAAATTGTCATATTTCAGTGATCTCTGCACTGGTTTTGTCTGGTGCTGTGCCCAAATATATAGTACCTGAGTACAATTCCGGGTGGGACATTGCTGGGGGTATTACCCCATCGCAGGTGGATAAAGTGGTTAAGGAACTGGAGGAGGACAGAAAGAAGGTAGGTGCTGTTCTTGTTACATCACCAACCTATCATGGCATATGCAGCAATATACAAGGAATTGTCAATGTTTGCCACCTGCAAGGCATTCCTGTTATAGTTGACGAGGCGCATGGTGCCCATTTCAGGTTTCACAGAAATTTTCCAAGCAGCGCAACTGAGCAAGGTGCCGACTTGGTTGTGCAATCCACACACAAGGTTCTGTGCTCGCTTACACAGTCCTCAATGCTTCACATGGCTGGAGATCTTGTGGATGCAGATAAAGTAAGCCAATGCCTCCAATTGCTCCAGAGCTCAAGCCCAAGTTACCTTCTACTCTCTTCTTTGGATGCCGCAAGGGCTCAGCTGAGTGAGAATGCAGAATCTTTTGATGAACCAGTATCTATGGCTTTAGAAACAAAACATCAGCTGAGGATTATCCCAGGAATATCTGTTTTGGACTTATCAAGCTTTCTTTCTGATTTTCCTGCTATTGATCCCTTGCGTATCACATTAAGTGCTTCAGATCTGCAATTATCTGGATATGAAGCAGATGATTTTTTAGCTGAGGAGCATCAAATTGTATCTGAGCTGGTCGGTACACAGGCCGTGACATTTGCAGTCAACTTAGGGACCAGAAGGCATGATGTTCAGAGGCTTGTACATTCTGTAAAGCATCTGTCAGAAAAATACTTCTCTGAAAATGGGTCCAGTTCCAGAAAAGAGAATCCTGCTAGTAGCCCACTGGACAAGTTCTCCATCAAGTTGACACCAAGGGAGGCCTTCTTTTTAAAGAAGAGGAGAGTGTCCATCGAGGATAGCCTTGGTGAGATTTGTGGTGAGCTTATCTGCCCTTATCCACCAGGTATCCCGGTGCTGATCCCAGGTGAGATAGTAACGCAGGATTCACTGTCATACTTGATGGATGTCAGGGACAACGGCATAGCAATCAGTGGAGCAGCTGATGGTGAGCTCAAGTCCATTATGGTATGCAACGTGTGAACTGATGACTCTGCTATTGTTTCAAGATATCTCTCAGAACCACAGATATGAACAACAATCATGTAAAAGATGGGACTGGTCACTTGGCCAAATGATCGCATCACATTTCGTGTTCTGAGAAGGAAAATATTAGTTGTCAAGCTGCAACATGGAACCAAAATATGAATATGGTCTATGGCATGTGATCTATCATCTATGTGAGTATGAAGTATGGAGCACGAACCACAGAAGCGGCAACCTTTCGTCTGAAGTGCCTTGGAATGTAATGATATCCTTCTTTTTCTCTATGTCTCTTCAAGAAAACAAATAAATTAGCCGGTAAGTAACAATTGCTGTACGTCTCTTTACCTTTTTAGCTTTCCTCTCCAGAACGGAAGCGGAAGCCTCAATCTGAACATAGCATCAGGTACAAGTTTGCACACCTGCATGGTTCTCCAGAAGCATGTTGAGAGGTTGATCGATCAAGGAATCTAGCTGCTCTTGTAAGTTTCAACATCAACTCAAGAATTCACGAGTGTTCTACAGCGTGTACCGAAAGAATCAGCTTATAGCACATCATTGCAGTGACCATTTATATATTCATTTCTAGTACTAGAAGTCTAGAACAGCTAAATACAAAGCAATACTTGCAAATTAAAGACCACTCAAACCTGGTGCTCAGGGGTTGAGGGCATGATACTAAAGTAGCAGATTTAGTTGCTAGAATTAATTTAGTGCTTAATCCACTTATAAATTGCAATCACCAACCAAGAAGTAATGTGGTGATGATGCAGTTAGGTTTGTCACGGGTTGGCTTTTTGCCAGAAGTGAGCTCACCATAAACAAGAAGGACTTGAGAGCTAACTCTGTGCCCCCACTGTACTGTTTGTTTTGCTCTCAATCATGTAATCACAGAAAAACTATTTTTTGGACTGATTGATCTCATGTAATCCAAACTTACTGTGATAAACAATCATGCAGCATCTGTACTCTTCATATTTCCATTAAAAGTAACATATCCTCAGAGGATGACACATGGGGCTGTCTTTCTAGCGTAGGCATAAGATAAATCGTGTTAACGTAGAGTGATGAATTTAAGATACCTTCATTTTCTAAAAAAAACATAATTATTTGCCACATGAAAAACGAAATAGTTGTTTTAGTAGTCTGACTAATTAATCATGCTTCTTAATCAATTAGACTGTCGCTGACATTCCACTAATTGTCGTACATTTTGGTAGCATGGTACTACTAATATCGTCATTTAACTTAACTGATAAAAACGAAACATCACATCAAAGATATGCTTGTTCGCATCAACTGATTAATAACCTTTGTTATCTCCTAGTTTGTCCGAAAAAGAAGTGCAACTAAATTCATAAACAGAAGCTACTAGCAATTGAGTCACGTAGCAACAGTGCCTATTATTAATTCATGGTTGGTGAGATTAATTAATCATCTAACAGGAGCCATGATCACAATTCGAAAATGACATGCTTCTTTTCTACTTCCTGCTACCCATATCATTACAGAATTTCGCCCGAATTGCATAGGAAACAGTTCAGTTTTTTTTACAGGAATTACAAAATTTGGTGGCAATACGTGTCTGGTACTTTTCCTCGTTGGCAATTCTAAAGCTACCGACAAAGCAGTGTGGTGTATTGCCAATCTGCCTTGTCATTTTCTCGACGTGTGATGAGCAACCGAAAAAAAAAAGTACAGTAGCTGTCACTTGTGTAAGCTAGCTAGCTGTGGTACTACGTGTACCAGCCTTAATTACTTAACCAAATTGCGCTCATAATTGGAATCAACTGGTAATTAGCTAGTAATTAATTAGCTGGATGCAGTGCAGCAACAGTACATTCTCCAGTAGATGCGTGTACGCTTGGTCGCACACCGGCGTTGCTGAGCCACCAGAGACTTGAATGCATGATTAATGTGGTGTTTCTAGCAGCAAATTTATTACCATCAGGAGCTAGCTACTGACAAGACAATTACACAAGAACAGTTAATCCCTAGGATCACATGCTAACAGAAAGCAGCAGAGAGCTAGAAGAAAAGGGGAGAGAGAACAAAAGAAGAAGATTATGAAGCTCACATGTAGAGATTATTACAGATAGCAAGCACTGTCAATATCGTTGATGACAATTTGTACAGGTTCACATGCCCATGTAACTATGTACACACTACTGAACACGTTGATGCCCAACCAAATGAATTGAAGGCCAAACCAAAAAAAAAAAAAGAAGAAGAAGGAAACACAGCCATGCATGCATGCATGTAGTACCAATTCATTCAGAGAATTGAAATGATGTTCAACACAGCCACATGGAAACTACTAATCAATATGCAAATCAAATCAAGAGCACTACCCCATGCCTGCATGTTGTTAATCATTCATCAGTTGCATGCATGCATGGATTCATGATGCAGCAGTAATAATGCTTTTCTTTTGCTAGCTAATACTGCAGCAAGCCAGCAAGGAGAGGAGACTGAGAATTCAGAGTTGCAGTGTGTGTTCAGTTCAGGCATGAGCTGCTTCCATGGCCATCTCGAGCTGTCGGAGGGAGAGGGAGGATGGGAGGGAGAAGGCGTTCACCATGCCTCCGACCTTGTTCATGCCGTCCCACCCGATGTGGCCGACGTGCTGCACGTCGGTCGGGTACCCGATCACCATCTCCCTCTCCTCTTCGTCTTCCTCCTCGTCGTCGTACATGGCGAAAATCTGGGACAGGCTCTTGATCCCCTTGATCAGCCGCTGCACGCCGGTGGCCACGATGCCAGAGGACGCCACCGCCGCCGCCGCCGCCGCCGTGGCGCCTTTCACCTTCTCGCCGCCGCCTTCTTCCTCCGCGCCTTTTGATCAATTGCAGGTTAGCAGCTACGTACTCTAATGATGTCGTTGAAAAGATTGATGTTATCATCTTCAGTACTACTCGGTGATCAAGAACTCACTCTGTGCGGCGGCGGCCATGGCGGCGGCGGAGGCGGAGGAGGAGGAAGGGTCGTTCTGCGTCGTCGTCGTCGACTTCTTGTCGTGCGGGTCGGCGACGTCGACGGCGGACTGCGACATGCAGCCGATGGAGAAGGGGAAGACGCCGGCGCTGCCGCGGCGTTCCTTCATGGCAGCAGCAGCCAATGAGAATCTTGAATTCTTGATTACTTCTACTACGGACGATGACAAGGTAGAGGAGAAGAAGAAGAAGCAACTAGCAGCAACAATGGTTAGCAAGAAATATATACAGAAATTGTGTGTATATGTATGTATATATGGTAGAATATATGGCAAGAATGATCAGTGTCTCCTTTCTTGGGTTTTTGGCTTTGTTGCCAAGGATGCATGATTGGCAGCTTATATAGAGGGGGAGGCCTGAAAGAAGGGGAAAGTTGAGGTTTGGTGAGAGAGAAGGACAGAGAGAAAGTAGAGACAGACAGAGATCTGTACGTGGTAGAGTATGGTATGGTATCCTCAGTTTGAGATTTGTGATCCAGATTATCTTTGTTTAGGACCTACTAGAGGGGATTGTACATGTATCATGTACTCTTTGATTGCCTTTGGATTTGTTAATTTTGTCATTGCTGCTTTGCTAGTGCTGGTGCATGATGATGATCAACAGTGTATCTTCCTCTCTTTCATGGTGTACAACATTCCTAACACTTGAAAGTTACATAAATTCTCTCTTGGATGTCTCATGCTAGCACTTGAAAAAAAAATTCAAACCTTAAGTGCACCTGACACTTGTGACATCCATGTTAAGATAGTATTAGCATCTTTTTATCTAGATAAACATATTCTCTCTGGAGAAATATCCGGGGGTTTTCCAGCTAGCTCCACAAGGTGGTGGGCTAGACGACTGGGTTCGAAGCCTCACCCCTTCTAATTATTTGATATTAGATCATTCCCTAATAATTGCGTCTTTTTTTCCTCTCTGTTTTTTTTTTACTTGATAGGTCAGGAAAATGTTCAGGGTGAAGCAGGTAGCAAGGTTGACAAGAATGAACCTTACCACAGCCAGCCGACAGTACAGTCCATAGCAAAATCTAGCAGGTATAAAGGGTAAAAGTGATGGATTGATTTATCCATCTACCCTGGACTGGATCTCCTCCAGAGTCAACTTCGTAATCTTCAATATGAATCAACTTCAAGTAGTATAATTTAAATTGATTTGCATAAGGTTAGCAAGTCTCTGAATCTGCTCCAACCCAACCACCTGGTTCTTCTTTAATCCCATTTGGAAAACAAGAAAGGGATTGTTCACATGCTGCCGAAGCAGACAGACATTATAAAGGAGAAATACTTGTACGCACGCATTGGCAGAAGCAGAACATTTGTCACAATAAACAAACGGCCACATGAATCCTTGTCTTGCCTTCAAGACCAAGCTTGCCATGCAGAAATGGGTCCAGAATGCAAGGCCTCTTCAGAGTTGAGAGTTCAGACATGCTGATGCTGAATTGTTGCATCAGTTGATCTGCAGCTGCAGAATTGGAGCTATAGCCAACAACCAACCAGGTGCAGTTCAGTTCTTGGAGAGAATTAGCAGCAGCAGGAGAAGAGGAGGAGATCGACATCGATCTCTGGAGTGGGGTGCAAGCGATTCTGGAGCACTAAGAAAAGAAAAGGCAAGCGAATTGAAAAGAGGAGATGACTAAAAGAGGTAGTGTGATAGTGCAGTGCAAGATGGAGGAAGGTTGTTGCTGGTATGGTTGTTGCAGTGAACACGTCGATCCAACCCTACACTGATACGGAATGCTAAGTTGCTCACTCCTACATACATATGCATACTACCTGTACCTACATTGATACCAGTATAGCTGGTGATCAGATCAGTTCAGTCCTTCACTGTACAGTTGTAGTAGTAGTAGTCAACTGGAGGTCCATACTAACCGTAGCACCTTTCTGCTGATGAACAGTTGTACAAATGCATCATGCATGTGGTCAATAGAAAAATTCAGGTGCTATACATGGGTGCCTTTTCAATAGGATTTTAATGAGGCCAAGGAATTGACGTTGGTCTTTGTCTCTTTGAGCGCATGTTGGGGGACTGTAATAATAGGTGTGAGCGCGCTATACGTTATACGTGTGTAATGTTGTACGTGCGTATGTGTTTTCCGTGTAACAAAAAAAAGAATTCAGAACTCGGTATAAGCAAGAAATGGAGTGCCATCCCTGTGAAAACAACTCTGCATAATTAAAATCAGAGGCAGATAATGATAGGATAATCAGATCATGCATGTAGATATGAACAAATCTACAGTCCGTCATGCATATATGGCCGGGGGGATTGGTTGTTGCTGGCCTTTGCCATGCTTGCAAACGAACAAGACAATCCTCCTGTTTTCTGCAACCGAAACAAGCAAGCATGGAGCATGCTGATTACAGATACAGATTGGTGGTTGCCTGCCTGCATGCGTCCGTACTACTGCATGCTGGAAGGAAGGAAAGGGAAGGAATCAGGTCGCTGGCTGTGGAATCACGAGCATATGCCTCTTTCTTGGTCCTTTCCTTCTTCTTGTTTGCTCGGTCTACATGCCTTCCAAAATCTAATCAGTTAGGAGAATGAGATTTTTCTTCTTTGTATTTCATAGCATAATTAAAAAAATGATTTTGGTTAAGGGATCATCTCTTGTTATTTTCTCTCTTTTTTCCTGTTTACCTATTGTGTAGTCGTGTTGAGCTGTCAGGTTCCACTTGGAAGAATCACAGTGCTAGTGATGATCAATTTGTCAATTTGTCATGGTGCATAATGAATTAATGACTACTAGTAGCAATTGATCCATTACTAGTGGCCCCAAGAAAGCATTGATTTACATTAGCACAAGTGTTGGCACACTAGTACAGATGAACACAAGGCTGATGGCGATAATGATTTGGAAGTAGCAGCTTATGCGTAGGAATCGTCTGAATATGATTGATCTTAGTAGTAGTACATGAGATGAGAGACAGGAGAAGAGAAGAGAAGCATCATTGCTGCTATGGCATTGCAGTCGTCAGCAGCAACGACTGGAAGCAGAGAATGTCACTCCCATCCCAGGAGCAGAATGCCTCTCATTCTCACCACCAAAGCGGTGGTTGTGGTGGGGATAGATAGATGCACGTTAGACAATGCACGCTCGCACGGCCAGTCGGCCACCACCATCACTTCTCCTCTGTTTCCTCCTCCCTTTTTGGCTGCCTTGCAGTTGCATTGCCATTGCACTGTGTGATGTGTGTTTGTGCAATTGCATAGGCAGAGTCAGCCTTTCCAAGTACACGCCTCACTATCGCCTTTCCAAGTGCACCTGCCTCTGCCTCTGCCCTGCTGCTGATACAGTTTCAAATACCGGTTTGTCAATAATTACCGTCCTGGGAAATCCGGTAACAGGCAGTTTTTGTTGGGCAGAAATCTAAATCAAAATACAAGATTTGAATTTTTATTCGGTAACCAACTAAAATAATCCTAAATTTATTTTTTTTTGGTATTATATGAGGAGCTTGAGATTTCGAGAAACAGCTAGAAAAGTTAAGTTAGGTTTCTCAGCTTTTGACTTTAATTAATTTTCTTTTTGTTTCTATAACTAATTTGGGTAGGTGAGAATATGCATTTTGTTTGGAGGAGCTGAAGATTTCGAAACAAGCTGTTGCTACTTACGAAATAACCAAATTGGTTCTTATGTTCTTACTCACGGATAGCCTCCATTTTCCAGACCACTTCTCCAGTGCTGCGTATGCAATACTGGACATATACAGTCTTGTCATGCTCATGCTGTCATGCACTGCACTTACCGCTTTGTGGGGCTCTCTCCTCTTATTAGCCGTGCCGTCTAATTTTGCCATTGCCTGACTGCCTGTTAGATTGTTCGCTCGATGATTGACTTGACTAATGACAAACTGATGATAAACATTAGGTGCACCATTAGGCGAGTTTAGTGAGCCGTATCTGTATGCAGAGAGCGTGCCCGGTACCATACTTGTCTTGATGGACACTTCACCATTTCTTCTTAAAAAAATTAGCATAAGCTAGGTATTCCTTTGCAGTATATTTAATGTCTATGGGCATTATATGCACTTAATAGCCATGATCCTTTAGCAGAACACGAAATGCAAAGTGGAAGGGTACTGATAATTTAAAATTTGGCAAGGAACAGATGTTGGATGTAAAGTTTAATGGAGACATAAGCTTGGTAAACAATACTGGAATAAAGGCAACAGCAGCACAGCAGAGCGAAAAAAATCCATTAGAAAAACGACATGTCCATGCAAACAGTTGCCAGCAAGCTACTCTTATAAACCATACAAAGCAATTTGGGATAGAAGTTAAACTGGTAAAGTCAACTGAAATTAACAGTCATCCATCCTCTTCAGATGGTAGGTACCTCAAAATGTATGTGACAGGAGATGGCATGACTCTCAACATGAAATCCGCGCAAGAAGCAAGTTACAACCTCGGACACCACATCATCTATTGTAAAACTAACAGCTATGTACAAAAGGCACGTCAAAGGTAGAGAGCCAAACTTTGGGATAAATCAAAGCAGAAGCAGACTCTCAGCCAACAGCATGTGGAACCATCTCAAGTATAAATGAATCCTCCAGTCTTCCTCCTCCCTCTCCCCATCCTCCTCTTTCTAATGTACATTTTGGTTATAAAAATGCTTTTACACCTTACAGATCAAAATTGTGCAGCGGTAACAGCAGGATATATCAACCCCTTACATAATCGGCGTGTTCTGACAATGAATTGGACAATGTCTTCCCACGCAGCATTCACTCAGGATATTCTTCAGCTGCTACGCCAACTCTCACAAAGTGATGAATCTCATGCACCAATCTAGCAGGGTGCATGAGGATATAGGAAGTGCTACCCGCAAATGGATGAATCACCCATTTGTGCCGAGCTACACTAGTTGTAGCAAATGCAGCACCTAGAAACAAGTTGCAGTTTGGCGTTCAAATGCTCAGTTACTCCACAGGATCCTCACTCAGCACCCAGCAGTTTGGGCTGCATTGTATTAATAGGGAATGACGTATGGTAACGCAATGACATCTGCCTGGTCAATCTTCAGAGGCTGAGCCCACACTTGGGAAGCTCCATCGGCCTCAGTCTCTGACTCGGTTTTCTTTGGTTGTGTGCCATCATGGTCAAACAGCCAGTCCTGGTCATCGTGCCCATGCCATTCCATCATTTGAGGTGCTTCAGGAATGCTGTATATCTGACTGAGATACTTGCTGTCTGGGTGTGGCAACTTCTTAGTAGGTGCACCATTCTCGGATGCAACTAGAGGATCATGAAGCCGTGGCTCAACTGAAGATCGTTGACCTTCCTGGTTGCCATTGATCTTCTCTTCCTTCTTGTGTTGCCTTATAGCCTTTTCAATATTTATGGCCTCCGGCTTCACAGAAGAGAGTGGCGCGGCTACATGAGATGCTGTACCATTCTCCACAGGAGTGTTGGAGTGGGCTGGTCTTGGCAACTTTGTAGGCCGCATTGTATCATGATGGTCTGTACATCATCAGAAGTCTTATAATATAATGTACCATAGAAAAATATAATGGTGTTCTACAACACTATACAA